TGGTGCTGGTGATGACCCCTGTGTGCATTACAGCTGTAACATACATGGGGTTCCCCATGTGGATCTCCTGTAATACTGTTCTCTCATTGTACAGGTGACACAGCAAAAGCTCAGAGAGGTCTCGAACTTTCTCAGCTTATGCTCCCAGCACCCGTGGGCTCTCACTCCCAGGTCATCGTCCTCTTTTCTCCTTCCCCTTCGTTCTCAATCCTCTCCCAGGTTGGCATTCATTCGCTTCTGGCTTGGTGTCATGCTCATGCAGAGAGATCATTGGACTTGTTGTTAAACTCAATATTCTCCCACAGGTCATGGTAGTGGGATCCCGGGGCCACTGTGATACCATTTACTCAAACTTTCCCTTCCACCCTGCCCGGCGGGCAAGGAATGAACCACACACTTGATTCTTGTCAGTGGTTGACCCTTCAGTCCCTCTGTGGGAAGATTCAGCTCTCCCAGATAGCCAATAAAACATAAGTTAACAGATGAAAACATGGACGTTCAAATGGCAACTTCCAACCGATATGCTGGTGCTGGAGGCTGGCAGCAAGGCACAGGGCAGCTTTGCGAAAGCTACTTAACTTCCCAACCTACATTTCTTTTTCTTAAAAACATGAGTGTGGTTGTGCTTAATGTGCCGAGGTCTTTTGAACATTAAGTATGTTCATATTCTTGAAAATGCAGCATACTCATTAGCACAGTGAAGAGCTTTGTAGAACTTTGGGGGTATATTACCTTCCTCACCTGACCCCATCCTCCACTTTGCTCATGTTCTCCCTCTAGGTCAGTGCTGGCCAGGCTTCCAGACACAAGTCCCAGAGTCCCAGGGATCACCCTTGTGTTTTACATTTTAATTAAGTCCCTCCTCAAGCCGCAAGTCAAACTTTTGCTGTTGTATATGAAAATCATTGCATACGCAAGGCCATCTAGCTTTTCACCTGTGTTGTCTTCTAGGAATTTTGTACCTTGTGTTTTACATTTAGGTGTGTGATCCGTTTTAGGTTAACTTTCATGAAGGATGAAGGAATGTGTCTAGATCATTTTTTTGCAGGTGGGTTTCCAATTGTTTCAGTGTCATTTGTTAAAAAGACCATTTTCTCCATTATATTGTCTTTACTGCTTTGCAAAAGAGAAGTTGATTATGTCGATGTGTACAAATATTTCTCTCTTTTCCGCATCCAGCGCGGCTAGAGAGCGGTCTGGTTCCTGAGTAGGAGCAGCTGGGGATTGAGAAAATGAAAGAAAGAGGCAGACACAGAGACAGAAGGAAAAAGCTGGGGCCGGGTGGGACAGCCGTCCTCTGATGGAGAGACAGTGACCCAGAGCCGGTACAGCGCGTTTATTTTATGCGGCAAAATACCAGGGAGTTTTCCTGAAGCCCGAGACAAAGGAGATGATGGGCATTCGTGTGGCTTCTCTGTCATCGTCACTTCGGGGTGGGCCGGATCACCGTGTTTGCTCCTGGGGCCTGGCTGGATTCAGGTAGTGAAACCCACCCCCTGGCGCCTGAGCTGAGGTCAGGCTGACAGCACCTGCCTCTGGCAAGGCATGTTTCCAGGCTGGATTCAGACGACGGTCGGCTCGGGCACCTTTCCCAGGCGGCTCTACAGACGTGGGTTTCTTTCCGGGGTCTTCATTCTTTTTCTTTGACCTGTTTGTCTTTTTCATTTATTTATTGTTTTCACCAACACCCTCTCCCGATTACTGCAGCTTTACAGTGTGTCTTCGAGTGAGGTAGTGTCTGTCTTCCAACTCTGCTCTTCCCCTGCAGGGCTGCCTTGGCCGTCTGGGTTTCCCCTCCACGTGAACGTCAAGGCCAGCCTGTCAACATGCACAGAAACAGCTTGCTGGCGTTGAGCCGGGCTGTGTTGAATCTACAGATCAGGTTGGAAAGAACAGGCATTTTACAACCACTGAGTCTTCCTTACCATGAGCATGAACTGTCTCTCAGTCTGCTTTGTTCTTTGAGTTTTTTGGTTTCCCACCGCCTGCACTTTGTACATTGAGGTTGTCAAATTCATGGGCACGTAACTGTTCATAGTATTCTTTTTTTAAAATATATTTTATTGTTTTTTTACAGAGAGGAAGGGAGAGAGATAGAGAGTTAGAAACATCGATGAGAGAGAAACATCGATCAGCTGCCTCCTGCACACCCCCCACTGGGGATGTGCCCGCAACCAAGGTACATGCCCTTGACCGGAATTGAACCTGGGACCCTTCAGTCCACAGGCCGACGCTCTATCCACCGGCCAAACCGGTTAGGGCCATAGTATTCTTTTATTATCCTTGTGATGTCCATCAATACGCAGTGATACACTATGTTTCTTAACAGGTGCTACTTCCTCTGTCTGAATGACCATCCCCTCTCCTTCCCTGTTGGGGATATACTCAGCCACCAAGACTTTTCTAAGGACACACCTCCCTCCTCCTTCCCCACCCCCCACCCCGCAGCTCCAGGCTCCTGCTGCTGCCCTGTCCGGTGTGCGATTTGCGGAGCGCACTCCCAGCCTTTTATCTGCAGCATCGTGGTTTCTCTCCCTTTTCCCCGCGTCCCCATCTCGCAGCTCCTCCCTCCCACCCCCCATCTGCACGGAGGCCCCCTGCCTCTTCTGCTGCCACTTCCTCGCGTGTCTTCCACCTGCCACGTGTCCTCCAGGCGGGGAGAGCAGAACCCAGAACCTTCGGGAGGGAACCAGGTAATGTCACTGCAGGTGGGGGAAGCCCGCCTTCCAGGGGGTGGAGCCCAGCCACCTGCCCGGCCTGTCCTGGCATCGCTGATCACTTTGGCACCTGCTCCTCCTTTCCAGGGGCCAATGCAGGACCCCAGAGGGTTGCGTGCAGGCAGAACCGGGTCAGATGTGCCGAGAGGCGCGGAGATGGGGCCAGACCCCGATTTCTCTTCTGCAATCACTGCTGAGCCCGCACGCAACCGCCAGTGGGTCCGCAGTGACCTGGGCAGCGGGCGGTGCCCCAGCAGGTACGATGGTCCTTGGGGACCTGGGATTGGGCCTCAATGTCCCGGTTCCCTCTCACTCCACAGTCAGCTCTGTGGGGCCTGGTCCTGCTCTCTGGCCAGGCCATGCCCTCGGCTCAGGGAGCCGTCTGTGTGCGCCGGCATCACAGCCACTCCCCTCCCCGCCGGGTGACCTCCTGGGGAATGCCTGCTTCCGCACCCACACCTGGCCGGCACCACCTGTCCCACACCTGGCTGAGCGGTGCCTCGCTGGACACGCCCCCAGACAGAGTCTGTGCCCCCTCCTGGGTTCTGCTGGATTTGGAAGAAAGGTCGAATATGGGAATTGCTTTTTCTTTTTTTTTCTTTTTTTAGGAAAAAAAGAACTTTCCTTGGGCCCCCTCATCGGCCAGGTTGGGGACTATGACCGGGACGCCTGCCTTTAAGTCCTGGCCGAGCCCAGCTTCTGACGCAGACAGGAGAGGCGACCACCGGAGGGAGGCGCTGGGAGGATGCCCGGGGGCTGACCCACATCAGAACCCGGACCAGAGCCTGGGTCTGCGGGGTCAGACACCGACCCGGTTCAGGTCCAGACATGGCGGGGGGGCACGGCCTCACCCGACAGGCTACTCGGCCCCCTGGAGAGCCGGACACTCCTCACCCGGGACATGCCCCAGCCCTCCTCAGAGCATCGTCAGTCCCCACACGCTGTGCAAACATGTGCTGTGGAAGATGGGCCACGTCCACGTAGACAGAGGAGTGTGGTTCCTCCCTCCCGCGCTCTTCCCACTCCCCTGTTGATCAATTAATTTCCCACCAGTTTCTGCTCTTGTAGACAGCGCTGCATGCATCTGTGAAGCCGGAGAGGGGTGGATGGGTAACTTCGGCAAATTGTTCAACATTCCACGTGGTAGCCTCATCGTCTAGCGATGACCAGCGCCATCTCCCTTGCAGAGCTGGAGGAGGATGAAGTGAGTTAGAATTTGTAAAGCTCTTGGGCCAGTCGAGACCAGTGTCCAAAAATCGTAAGCACTCCACACTGCGGTAAAAACCAGACCTGCACATGCACTTTCCGGGTGCTGGGGAGCGGGTTTGAGTGTGCAGTGCTGTCTGGGAGCTCTGCATACGCGAGCACACACACGTGCCAGCGTCTGATAGCGTGGCAGGTGTGCAGATGGACTATGAGTTATTTAATAAAACCCTGCCACGGGCAGTTGTGTTGGTCTTTCCCAGGCTCAGTGTGCTTTGAACGTTTCCATAAATGATGAACATGCATGTGCTTTCACTTGCACAAACAAGAAAAAAATGTTTGCCCCACGTCGACCCTCAGCAGCTCGAAGGAGCCTCTCCCCCCACAGTGATCCGTGCTGGGCCTGGCAAACTTACAAAAGCTTCACTAAGGAGCGGGCGGGAAGTAGGCTGACTCAGTCCTCGAAGCGTGGGGTGCAGGAAGGAGCCTGCCCTCGGGACAGTGGGAAGCCGCTGCCTGCCCTGTGGCCCGGCCCTGCCGTGAGGGCGGGGAACAGGCAGCGGCGGAGGCGAGCGAGGCCGGGCTCATTTTATTTCCTCTCATTCAGCCCCAGTGCTCTTCCCAGCATTTGTACTGAGTAGAGTAACCTCCCAACAGGCTACTAAGAAGACAAACTACAGTGTTACCCAAATGCATGAGAAATCTCCTCTGTCCAATACATTCCTCAGAGTTCGCATTTCTGGGTCGGAGACGACCGAACCCAGCCAGTGCAGTGTTGGCATCACCGTTAGCGTTTTCTTCCTGCGAGTAATTGTACTGTGGAGCCAATTGCTTCTTGCAGAGAGAGGAAGAGGTGGAGGTGGAGGTGGGGGTGGAGGTGGAGGTGGGGGCTGAGTTAGAACATTATTCACCAGCCCTTCCCATGAAGGAGCTAGGATTAGGATTAGGATTAAGGTTAGGGTTAGAGGTTAGAGATTAGAGTTAGGGTTAGAGGTTAGGGTTAGGGTTAGGGTTATACTTTAGGGTTAGGGTTATACTTTGGGCTTAGGGTTAGGGTTATACTTTAGGGTTAGGCTTAGGGTTATACTTTAGGGTTAGGGTTAGGCTTATACGTTAGGGTTAGGGTTAGGGTTAGAGTTAGGGCTAGGGTTAGGGTTAGGGTTAGGGTTATACGGTAGGGTTAGGGTTATACTTTAGGGTTAGGGTTAGGGTTATACTTTAGGGTTAGGGTTAGGCTTATACGTTAGGGTTAGGGTTAGGGTTAGAGTTAGGGCTAGGGTTAGGGTTAGGGTTAGGGTTATACGGTAGGGTTAGGGTTATACTTTAGGGTTAGGCTTAGGGTTATACTTTAGGGTTAGGGTTAGGCTTATACGTTAGGGTTAGGGTTAGGGTTAGAGTTAGGGCTAGGGTTAGGGTTAGGGTTAGGGTTATACGGTAGGGTTAGGGTTATACTTTAGGGTTAGGCTTAGGGTTATACTTTAGGGTTAGGGTTAGGCTTATACGTTAGGGTTAGGGTTAGGGTTAGAGTTAGGGCTAGGGTTAGGGTTAGGGTTAGGGTTATACGGTAGGGTTAGGGTTATACTTTAGGGTTAGGCTTAGGGTTATACTTTAGGGTTAGGGTTAGGCTTATACGTTAGGGTTAGGGTTAGGGTTAGAGTTAGGGCTAGGGTTAGGGTTAGGGTTAGGGTTATACGGTAGGGTTAGGGTTATACTTTAGGGTTAGGCTTAGGGTTATACTTTAGGGTTAGGGTTAGGCTTATACGTTAGGGTTAGGGTTAGGGTTAGAGTTAGGGCTAGGGTTAGGGTTAGGGTTAGGGTTATACGGTAGGGTTAGGGTTATACTTTAGGGTTAGGCTTAGGGTTATACTTTAGGGTTAGGGTTAGGCTTATACGTTAGGGTTAGGGTTAGGGTTAGAGTTAGGGCTAGGGTTAGGGTTAGGGTTAGGGTTATACGGTAGGGTTAGGGTTATACTTTAGGGTTAGGCTTAGGGTTATACTTTAGGGTTAGGGTTAGGCTTATACGTTAGGGTTAGGGTTAGGGTTAGAGTTAGGGCTAGGGTTAGGGTTAGGGTTAGGGTTATACGGTAGGGTTAGGGTTATACTTTAGGGTTAGGCTTAGGGTTATACTTTAGGGTTAGGGTTAGGCTTATACGTTAGGGTTAGGGTTAGGGTTAGAGTTAGGGCTAGGGTTAGGGTTAGGGTTAGGGTTATACGGTAGGGTTAGGGTTATACTTTAGGGTTAGGCTTAGGGTTATACTTTAGGGTTAGGGTTAGGCTTATACGTTAGGGTTAGGGTTAGGGTTAGAGTTAGGGCTAGGGTTAGGGTTAGGGTTAGGGTTATACGGTAGGGTTAGGGTTATACTTTAGGGTTAGGCTTAGGGTTATACTTTAGGGTTAGGGTTAGGCTTATACGTTAGGGTTAGGGTTAGGGTTAGAGTTAGGGCTAGGGTTAGGGTTAGGGTTAGGGTTATACGGTAGGGTTAGGGTTATACTTTAGGGTTAGGCTTAGGGTTATACTTTAGGGTTAGGGTTAGGCTTATACGTTAGGGTTAGGGTTAGGGTTAGAGTTAGGGCTAGGGTTAGGGTTAGGGTTAGGGTTATACGGTAGGGTTAGGGTTATACTTTAGGGTTAGGCTTAGGGTTATACTTTAGGGTTAGGGTTAGGCTTATACGTTAGGGTTAGGGTTAGGGTTAGAGTTAGGGCTAGGGTTAGGGTTAGGGTTAGGGTTATACGGTAGGGTTAGGGTTATACTTTAGGGTTAGGCTTAGGGTTATACTTTAGGGTTAGGGTTAGGCTTATACGTTAGGGTTAGGGTTAGGGTTAGAGTTAGGGCTAGGGTTAGGGTTAGGGTTAGGGTTATACGGTAGGGTTAGGGTTATACTTTAGGGTTAGGCTTAGGGTTATACTTTAGGGTTAGGGTTAGGCTTATACGTTAGGGTTAGGGTTAGGGTTAGAGTTAGGGCTAGGGTTAGGGTTAGGGTTAGGGTTATACGGTAGGGTTAGGGTTATACTTTAGGGTTAGGCTTAGGGTTATACTTTAGGGTTAGGGTTAGGCTTATACGTTAGGGTTAGGGTTAGGGTTAGAGTTAGGGCTAGGGTTAGGGTTAGGGTTAGGGTTATACGGTAGGGTTAGGGTTATACTTTAGGGTTAGGCTTAGGGTTATACTTTAGGGTTAGGGTTAGGCTTATACGTTAGGGTTAGGGTTAGGGTTAGAGTTAGGGCTAGGGTTAGGGTTAGGGTTAGGGTTATACGGTAGGGTTAGGGTTATACTTTAGGGTTAGGCTTAGGGTTATACTTTAGGGTTAGGGTTAGGCTTATACGTTAGGGTTAGGGTTAGGGTTAGAGTTAGGGCTAGGGTTAGGGTTAGGGTTAGGGTTATACGGTAGGGTTAGGGTTATACTTTAGGGTTAGGCTTAGGGTTATACTTTAGGGTTAGGGTTAGGCTTATACGTTAGGGTTAGGGTTAGGGTTAGAGTTAGGGCTAGGGTTAGGGTTAGGGTTAGGGTTATACGGTAGGGTTAGGGTTATACTTTAGGGTTAGGCTTAGGGTTATACTTTAGGGTTAGGGTTAGGCTTATACGTTAGGGTTAGGGTTAGGGTTAGAGTTAGGGCTAGGGTTAGGGTTAGGGTTAGGGTTATACGGTAGGGTTAGGGTTATACTTTAGGGTTAGGCTTAGGGTTATACTTTAGGGTTAGGGTTAGGCTTATACGTTAGGGTTAGGGTTAGGGTTAGAGTTAGGGCTAGGGTTAGGGTTAGGGTTAGGGTTATACGGTAGGGTTAGGGTTATACTTTAGGGTTAGGCTTAGGGTTATACTTTAGGGTTAGGGTTAGGCTTATACGTTAGGGTTAGGGTTAGGGTTAGAGTTAGGGCTAGGGTTAGGGTTAGGGTTAGGGTTATACGGTAGGGTTAGGGTTATACTTTAGGGTTAGGCTTAGGGTTATACTTTAGGGTTAGGGTTAGGCTTATACGTTAGGGTTAGGGTTAGGGTTAGAGTTAGGGCTAGGGTTAGGGTTAGGGTTAGGGTTATACGGTAGGGTTAGGGTTATACTTTAGGGTTAGGCTTAGGGTTATACTTTAGGGTTAGGGTTAGGCTTATACGTTAGGGTTAGGGTTAGGGTTAGAGTTAGGGCTAGGGTTAGGGTTAGGGTTAGGGTTATACGGTAGGGTTAGGGTTATACTTTAGGGTTAGGCTTAGGGTTATACTTTAGGGTTAGGGTTAGGCTTATACGTTAGGGTTAGGGTTAGGGTTAGAGTTAGGGCTAGGGTTAGGGTTAGGGTTAGGGTTATACGGTAGGGTTAGGGTTATACTTTAGGGTTAGGCTTAGGGTTATACTTTAGGGTTAGGGTTAGGCTTATACGTTAGGGTTAGGGTTAGGGTTAGAGTTAGGGCTAGGGTTAGGGTTAGGGTTAGGGTTATACGGTAGGGTTAGGGTTATACTTTAGGGTTAGGCTTAGGGTTATACTTTAGGGTTAGGGTTAGGCTTATACGTTAGGGTTAGGGTTAGGGTTAGAGTTAGGGCTAGGGTTAGGGTTAGGGTTAGGGTTATACGGTAGGGTTAGGGTTATACTTTAGGGTTAGGCTTAGGGTTATACTTTAGGGTTAGGGTTAGGCTTATACGTTAGGGTTAGGGTTAGGGTTAGAGTTAGGGCTAGGGTTAGGGTTAGGGTTAGGGTTATACGGTAGGGTTAGGGTTATACTTTAGGGTTAGGCTTAGGGTTATACTTTAGGGTTAGGGTTAGGCTTATACGTTAGGGTTAGGGTTAGGGTTAGAGTTAGGGCTAGGGTTAGGGTTAGGGTTAGGGTTATACGGTAGGGTTAGGGTTATACTTTAGGGTTAGGCTTAGGGTTATACTTTAGGGTTAGGGTTAGGCTTATACGTTAGGGTTAGGGTTAGGGTTAGAGTTAGGGCTAGGGTTAGGGTTAGGGTTAGGGTTATACGGTAGGGTTAGGGTTATACTTTAGGGTTAGGCTTAGGGTTATACTTTAGGGTTAGGGTTAGGCTTATACGTTAGGGTTAGGGTTAGGGTTAGAGTTAGGGCTAGGGTTAGGGTTAGGGTTAGGGTTATACGGTAGGGTTAGGGTTATACTTTAGGGTTAGGCTTAGGGTTATACTTTAGGGTTAGGGTTAGGCTTATACGTTAGGGTTAGGGTTAGGGTTAGAGTTAGGGCTAGGGTTAGGGTTAGGGTTAGGGTTATACTTTAGGGTTAGGATTAGGGTTATACTGTAGG